TTGATGGTTTTAATATCATCATATAGTGTATTATATGACATGATTTAATTTCTCATGTTTTTCTTGAGAAACAGAAGCACGGCAATGTTTTCCGCTGACAGTGCAGCCCTCTGTGCCGTAACAATGTCACCCGCTGTACTGAATACCCTCTCGGAAGGCACTGCCGTGGCTGGAATACACAATACCCCTGCTGCATAATTGGCTAATACTGGATACTGAAACTGAAACTGAAACTGAAACAGTGGGTGCTCGCTTCAGCTTGTATCGCGCGCGCGGGCACTCAGGTGAGCATAGGCTATATATAGACTCCCTGGTTGCCGTGCTCTCTGCCTCGCTCACACGGCTGCCCCACTCTGCCCGCGCAGTAGTACCGCGCAGTGCTCCATGCAGTGGTCGCTTACCAGTAATACTGTATGCGTCGTGTAGGCATTGTGCTTCGTAATATATACACCGCCAGTGTATAATTTTTGAGCCCATTAACAATATAGACATAAAGGCAAGTGTCAAGTAATTTATTTCTTGTTATACCACCGTATCGTAAAATATCGATATCCGGAAGTTGTATCGCGATATATCGAGTTTTCAAAATATATTGCAATATACCGATATACCGGTATATCGTTACACCCCTACTTTCTATTGCGAGATTTTTGCTCAGAAAAACTAAATATAGCTGAATATAGTCTCACCTGACAGCGGAAATATCACTGATTACACCTACATTAAAAACACTAAGATTTTATGCAGTTATAGCATAGAAAAATGGATTTGACCACATCATACCAGCAATAAATTTTATCGTGTCCCGACTCACAAAATCACAAATGGCGCCTTCAAACCAAGTGCATAATTAAAACAAAAGGGCGTGCAATTCTGTGTGGTAAATATTATTGAGTTTTTATGTCAATAATTCAGAGCACTTTCTGTCATTGTCATTCCCGTGTTACTATCTGACTGGTAATCCACAAGCTTCTCTAATAACAGACTTTACGCGGCATTAGTACTACACTCCTGTTACGCTAGTATGAACGTCTGTGTTTACACTCTGACCTGATTTCTGCGGTGCGACTATGCATTACTGCACCGTGATAGATGTCTCGCGCTACCGAAAGAAAAGGCTATAGGCCACGCACTGCATTTTGGGATACTCCAACTCCCGTACGAGCTTCGTCAAAGCCGCCAGTGGAGCGGCGCAAAAATGAGGTCACGAAGAGCGCCGGTGGGTGTTTCCTGATTCCGACAGCCATTTACATTAACTGCGCAACGGGAGCGAATGCGAGAATTTTGTCAGGCTTTGTGTGATTTCGCGTGACACAGCTCGGTTACGAACACAGACAGTATGTTTTTATAACAAGTGAACACTGTCCTTCAAATAGAAACAAAGATGGGATGGAATGGTTGAATGTTTGTGTTGTATTCGCGTGAAATCAAGCAAGCGTCGAGCGAATTTTGGCAGCACACTTTCCTACCTGCTATATATTTATGTGTCAGCTAGTGTGCAGCGGCAGCCAGCGTTTGTTGCAGATGAGCATTTGGACGGCATTTACAGGAAATTGTCAGCAATAATAGGTGAAAGAGAGTATAGAAACATTAAGACTTTGGTAGTAAACAGATTTCGTATTTATTTAGCATTATATTTTATTGAAACGCTCCAAGTCAGCAAGTGCCTGTGACGGTAGGTATCATGAAAGTGGGGAAAACACTGGAAAACTCTCGCAATACTCCCAAAAGTTACTACTATTAGTATTACTAATACTATATTCTGGTACTTCAACTACTTGTCTATACATAACATCAGGAGTGAATAATAGGCCTACTTAATAGATTCTATATTATAATACTATAAACTATAGTCTAGTAGTAGTAGTAGTATAGTCTATAGACTATAATATACTAGTAATAGACAGTATAGTCTATAGATTCCATAATTCCACATTCCACTCCTGATAATAGCTCCAAGAAACGGTATTGCTAGGGTTAGGATACCGTAGTATATAGAATGGTTAGTATAGACAATCCGTCGCACAGCCTGGTCGGGCTATCCTGATAAAGTCATTACATTAGTAGTACTGGCACTAAGGCATATAATATGACTACGTGCAACTGACAGATTTGATAAGACAGATATTTTCGTTATAACGGAAGTTTTAATTTTTAAATACTATGAGAACATGCACATAAATAACTAAAGTATAAAATTACCAGGTTTCCAAAATTTTACACTCTTTGGCAAGGGCGCAGACATCTTGAAATCTCCCGCAAAATATGCGAATGCTCTTTTCATAAAATTAATAGAGGTCGTGGTGGGCAAAATGGCGGTAAATCGTCAAGTCTTACTTCAAAAACTTGTAACTTTATGTGTTATTTGCTATGTAGCTGCATCAAAATTAAATGTACCGCGAGTGTTACTTCCTTATTGTATATCTGTATCAACAAATTTTACTTTAGAGGTTACAGATGGTTGCTATACGTGGTAAGTTAGTCTTGCATTGTGCTTGAATTTCCCAGAAAAACCGGCGTCATTTTCATAGACACGTGCGGCCCATTCCTATTTGACAACCCCAGGTTTAAAAACCCTAACCCTAACCCTAACCCTAACCCTAACCAAACTCAGGACATGGGTGTGTAAACGCTACTTGTACCGACACGTGCTTTATCAATACATTGAACATTTCTTCATTGAAACTGTTTTGTCAAAGTACATATGACGTACTCTTCATCAAAAAATTAGGCCACTCAGCGTAGGGGCATCGTAGGGACATGCGGTTTGTTTTATATTAACAAGGTAGGACAGCTGATCAATAATACTGCAAAGAATCGTCAAAATAAATCGAGGAAAGTTTATTAATTCGACTAATACTGCACCATGGTCTCCTTCTTAATACGCTCTTGGTAGCAGTCATCTATATTTGCACTTTAAAGGCATACTAGGCCCATTGATTATGCAATGTTGATGAATGCTAGAGTAACTGGCACTTGTGTAGTTAATAAGTGCATAACCTTATAGCCAAACGCGTATTAGTTTGTCCAATATCACTGCTGGTTACATTAAATTTACAAGCAAGACTTGAAATCGGTTGTTGATATTCATTTATGTGCCGTAAATGTCATCCAGGAGTCAAGCGATGACGTAAACATTTGTGCGGCCCGTATGTTTTCGACGCCAGATGAAATGGAGGTGTCAGCGGTGTAGCCACGGCCACGGACTAAACATGGAAATGGAGTAAAATACACGTACTAATCACGGATGCACGTGGACAGCCCTGACAAAAAGTTTCTTATCACGAGCGTCCGTGTTTACAAAATCACTGATGATAGCATGCGTGCGAAAATGTCCGGTGCACTATAAATCTGTATCACACCCGCTTCGCCGGCAGCAGTCTGAAACTGTAAACAATTAATTTCTTGGACTGCGGATTTCAATTAGACATTTCTTAGCAACCAGCAGTGATATTGGACAAACTAATACGCGTTTGGATGTAAGGTTATGTACTTATTAACTACACAATGTGCCAGTTACTCTATCATTCGTCAACATTGCATAATCAATGGGCCTAGTATGCCTTTAAAGCAAGAAGAGAATACCATTTCATAGTATTCCTACAGTATAAAATATTCTAAAAGATCTAGGGAAAATGATATGTAAATTTGATATATAAGATAGCAGCAGGATTCATCAAGTATCTCACAAAAATGTTTCAAAACCATACCTGTATTTAAGTAAAAGTGGGTCTCTCATCAGCTCTCTGATTAGCATTCCATCAGTAAGGAACTGCAACCAATGTAAAAAGGATATGAGAAAAGATTAATTCACAAATTTATTATAGAATAGAACCACTGAATGTCCAGCTCTACATTACACAGATAACATAAGCAGCAGTTGAGTTGGAGCTTTTGTAAGCACAATTTCCAAATAAAGGAGAAGCTGTATACATTTCAGGCCATTGAATATCATACTTAATTTTATACCTTCAAACAACCAACTTTATCATGAATAGAGCTAAATAATGTTGCTGGCATGATATCACGACACTAAGAAAATGTTACCTTGATCTTGGTCAGTGTGGGATCTGTAGCATTGTTAAACCTGACACAGTAGCCCACATCACAGCCTAGTACAGACCCTTTCTCTTCAGCTACTCTGGTTGCAACCTAACATAATAAAATAATTAATCAGCTTGAGATGGGCAGTTACATGACAAAAAAACAAAACAATTCTATGCTAATTGTTTTGATAGATTCTAGAAGACTACAAAACAAGCTGGAATATGGGGGTTAATATGTATTGTGAAAAAAATGAGGACTGTTTCCCAATTTGTAATGACTATCATATGCCTATATCTTATTTTTAATAACATCTTTTCAATTAATTTACGATGTATCACGCTTATCATAAAAATAAAGGCAAACTCACTGTTATTGCTGCTACCCTCCGAGGCAGGGTTACTCCAATGACACCATCGGCACCCCAGCCTGCCTCCATTAGATACTGTATGAGGTGTAAATATCATATACATGAACAAATAACAGTATGCGGTAATCACAATATTTACATATCGTTTGAAGAGCAATTAACTTTCGTTTTATCAGATTTTTTGATATTTTCTTTTATTGAAATTATTTATTATTATATATACATGTATATTATATATTATACATATATTATATAAAATGTACATTAATTGAGATGTATAGTAGTGATGTCCTGATGATCGATTATAATCGAAAGTCAGTTGTTTGCAGCAACCGACAAAGCGCTTGATTATGAAAATAAATAATTGATTATTAATTTTTTTTTTTAAATGTCCAAACAATGATGAAATGACTCTTCATTTCATTTTGGTGTGTTTTTTGTTTACTTTACAGCTTAAATCTAACCTACACCAAACATAAGCAAGTATAATACTGTTACATAGCTTTTAGAATATTGTATTACAGGGCATGAAATTTGCCAAAATGTGAACAGGCCCACCCTAAATTTTAAACAGGCGCTTACAAGTTTGAAAAGACCCTTAATTTTGTTCAATTTATTCCATTACCTAAGTATTAGGTTTGTGTTTATTAGGCATACTCATAATATTTCAGTATTTCATTGCTACAGGGTGCAAAATTAACGGGAGTCCGAAGTCAAATACTTCCTGATTTACTGTCGGACTCCCTGATTTGACATATGCAGGAGTCCGTGTAACTCCCTGAAAATTCTGCCACACTAACTAGTTCGTTCCGGAGCACAGCCTCACGGAATTACACGTATATATATAAATATTAAAACATTGAAAATCAGGAAACATCAATCTAAAACAACTTAATAATTATCATTGCGAAGATATGTACTTGCCTTGTGTTTAGGCTTACGCACTGGGGAAATCGGGTCCATTGCCGATTTTAGTCACACAGAACATGGCGGCTGTCTGGCATCCAATTCATCTCGGAAAATATGGCATAACTCGATAAATAAGTAGCGCCCAGTTACCGCGAGCAAGCCAGAGGTTTATAGATTCGTTTGAGCTATTACATGTGACGCTAGCTGTGGCGATGTTTGGATACCGAGCCACCTATAAGTTTTTATGGGCAAGAATTTGAAACGGTCTTCTAACCCTAGCAAAGACCGTTTCTTGGAGCTAAAAGAGGTCCTGCCCTGACACAGGCACTTGGAACGTCCCAATAAAAAAAAGGTAAATAAACACGAAATGCATTTACTACCAAAGTCTTAATGTTTCTCTACTCTGTTTCGCATATTATTGCTGATAATCACCTGTAAATGCCGGTCAAATGCTCATCTGCAACACACAAGTACACCGCACGCATGCCCTGTGCACAAACGACATGAATAAGAGAGCAGGTAGGAAAGCGTGATTGCAAAATTTGCTCGACGCTTGCTTCATTTCACACCTTCACAGCACGAATACACATCCAATGTCAGCTTCCATCTTGGTATCTATGTGTAACTAAATGTTCACTTGTTCGAATTATAACTCTGTCCTTTATTCTTACCTACTCCCGTCAGAGATATCTCGTGAAATCCTGCAGGAAATGTTCTCTCCGTGAAAATGACAAGAGGGCGTGATGTCTGTTTACACACGAGTAATGGAGCGCATTGCATGCCGGGATGAGCTGCTGCCTGCCTCCGAGCTCCGTTTCGAGGCCCGCCAAGCCAAGCATAACGCATGACGTCACACACACGACTACAGTGATTGGTCAAAAGATCGAGTAGCGCCGTTAGAGATTTTCGGATGATACGTCCTCTACATTTTCACGGAGAGAACATTTCCTGCAGGATTTCACGAGATATCTCTGGCGAGAGTAGGTAAGAACAAAGGACAGAGTTATAATTCGAACAAGTGAACATTTAGCTACACATCAGGGGTCGAAATTAGCGGTATCCCGATATCCGCGGGATACCAGATTCTTGTGCGGGATACCAGATTTCAATGCTTGGTATCCCGCCGGGATAGTAAAAAAAAAATCGTCATAATCGGGATAGTGGTTGTTGAGTTATCAACTTTATACGGCAGC